CTTACCTGGACCCCGAGCTTGTCTTGATTGGCACAGATTCTGAAGCACATCATATTCCTCAGCTTCTTGGCACTTGTTGAAGGTCTGGTCAGGCATCCAATTCTCGGCAAATTTCTGCAGCACTGTTTTCGAAGCTACGGTGTGGCAGGGTGCCGTGAACCGTAGGATGGGCTCTTACGTAGAGAGGGATCTGAGTCTGCGTAGTGATGGCGCGACTCCACACATTCTTGACTGAAGTCGCGTTCTTTCCAAAGTCTCGCGCTTGGGAGAGCTCTAAGGCCGGTTACTTACGAGTGCCACACTATTCGGCTTGCTGTGGGTCTCGAAACCCCGCCGTTTCCAGGAGTTCTCGAAATAGGCGAGCTTCGGTTTTGTGCTGTTTGGGACACGACGCGTCGCGGTCCCGTGCGTTTCCCCACCTCCCCAAATCATGGGAGGGGGGTTCATACATGCAGGTGGCGTGAGGCTCCTGTGTGCACGTAGCCCGGGTTCATATATGCACATGCTTTCTAAATTTGAAGGCCTGTCCGTGCGTTGTTGTCCTGAGCCTACCTTAAGCCCCGAAGCCCCATTCCGTAGCTCCAAGCTGTCTGCCTTCACCGACATTGGCGATCTGGCTTTAAAAAATCCAAACAACCCAACACCCCTTTGCCCTAAATTCTCCCTAAACCTTGACCTTAAACACCAATAACCCTGAACCCCAAGAACCCGGAGTAAGAACCCTAAAGTCTAAACCATTTTGGCTCAAACTTTAAGCGACAAGTGCCATCGCCACCCCGTGCAGTGCCGAAATGCCCGAAAGCGTCGTTGAGCAAGCGACCCTTATGCGTGTCTCTTACGCAAGCAAGAGCTTCGTGGCGCTCAAAAAAACGCATCTTGACACGAATCTTGGCATGAAAGATGCCGGACGGCGAGCTGTTCGGTGATGCATTATGTCATCCCTTCGGAAACTGCCAACAACTACTCGGAGAGCAAGGCAATGGCTGCAACACCGCAGTTGAAGATGGAAGACGCACTGACGCAGGAAGGCGTCCAGGCATACTTCAAGGATGCAAACGTCGAATTCGCGTTGAGAACAAAGGTCTGATCAGCTCCGGCAGGAATCAGCGAAGATGAGCATGGCTTCCTACTGGTGCAGGCAAAAGGAGCTGAAGAGCATTTCCTGCTTCAGGAGAAAGCCAAGCTGTTAAAATTCTTCCCGGATGCAAAGGCGCGCTCAATGTTCCACGAGTGGATGGAACGGTTGGAGCTTCGTGAAATCGAGTGGGCCATGTACGAGGACAAGTCAGAGACTCGTACAGCCGTTCGCCTCAGCCGCCGATACGACATCATAGGCGGTTCGAAAGAACTGGAGGCCTATCGCGAGCAGAAGGAAAAAAGCTATGCCGAGGCCTGCGAAAAATATTTGGTCGTGCGTCCGAAGAAGAAGCCCCGGCGCTCGGATTGAGCCGACGCAGTCCCCTGGTGACGGCATTACAGGTTGCCGCTGGCATAGCATGCTGTCAACCGTCGGAATTCGACCAACGAAATAGAGACATGCTACACTGAGGCAGGCGAGGCAAACATGAGCACGGGACGCTCAGGCAATCCAGCGGTTCCTGGTTTCAAAGCAGGCATGTCTTTCAGAAGCAGAGAAGAGTCCAACCTGCAAGACCCAGTTTTCGGATTCCAGCAGGCTGCGTCCTCCATCGACCGAGCAACGAGCAACGAAGCATGGGTTGTAAGTTACATGGGATATGAAGGAAGTAGGTAACACTTGCATATGGGTATAGAGAGGACTGGCACTGGCAAAGTGTTTTTTGGGCACCTTGGTGTGTGTAGTGCAGCTATGGTCTACATGTGCTGGGTTCTGATGGCCCAGAGTTGGTCTGTGCGCGGAGAATCGTCTGCGTCCTGACGGCCGTAGTTTCGTTCAAGGGCTGAGTGTTGTTGAGGTTGTTCGTATGTGTGGGTGGGCTTGGAACTTTGTTTACGGACTGCCCTGGAAGTAGGTGTGAAGTAGAGCCCTGGGGAACACCGGGGGTACGGGGGGAATGGGGTGGTGATATGGTGGTCATCCTGCCTTGTTCTGGTGCCTCGAAGGTGTTCCCCTCCCTCAACCATCCTGGCTTTCCCGACACTAACTGCTAAAGGAAAAGGGGGCGTACAAAAACAAAAGCGCTGACACAGAGACCCTGGAATTTAAACTGTAAGGCCTAAGGCTTAAACCTTAATCCCGAAAACCTTAAATCACCTGAAGCCCTGAACCCTAGAGGGGATAAGGACCAACAAAACGTAAATTTGGATCCAAAATTAAGTTTGGATCAAAACAACTTAAACTTGGATCAACAAAAATTAAACAAGGAAGGAAGGAAGCAAGGAACGCAGGAAGGAAGGAAGAAAGGAGAGGAACAAAAAGAAAGGAAGGAACGCAGACAGGAAGGAAGGAAAGAAGGAAGCAATCAACGCAGGAAGGAAGGCAAACTACTATTACCACTACTCTACTAATGTGCTACTACTA